TAGCCTGCTTCAGGCCATATAATGACTTATGTAATTTGCAAACTTTGTTGGTCGAAGAAGTGCAAACTTCGTTGGTCGAAGAATTGCTAACTTCGTTGATCGAAGAAGTGCTAACTTCGTTGATCGAAGAAGTGCAAACTTCGTTGGTCGAAGAAGTGCGAACTTCGTTGGGCGAAGAAGTGCAAACTTCATTGGTCGAAGAAGCAAAAGAAGTGCAAACTTTGTTGGTCGAAGGAGTGCAGACTTTGTTGGTCGAAGAAGCAGGGGGCAGGAATCCAGGAGGTAGATCCATATACACTTCCTCATGTAGATCACCATGAAGGAATGCATTGTTGACGTCGAGTTGTTCCAAGTGCCAATTCTTAATGGCAGCCACTGAGAGAAGGGTTCGAATAGAAGTAAGCTTCGCAACAGGTGAGAAAGTGTCAAAATAATCCACCCCCTCCAGCTAAGTATATCCTTTTGCTACCAAACGGGCCTTGTATCGTTCAATGGATCCATCAGCATGATGCTTGATTTTGTAGACCCATTTGCAACCAATCGATTGTTTGCCTGCAGGCAAATCAACAACAGACCAAGTATTTGTAGATTCAAGAGCATCTAACTCAGATTTCATAGCATTGTTCCAACAATCAAACTTGCAGGCTTGTTTATAGGTTTTTGGTTCTGTGGAAGATCTTATGGATAGACAAAATAATTTGTGATCAGGACTACATTGGCTATAAGATAATACAGAAGAGAGAGGGTAGTTAGAGGAACCTGAGTCAGATGCTGGCAGCATAGGGGATAGCAAATTGCAGTGATAATCAGATAGATAAGCTGGAGGTTTAATATTTCGATTGGATTTTCTGGTTGGCACAGGAGGGGAGGGGCAAGGGGAGTTGTTAGTGTCATTCGAGGAAGAAGAGAGGTTAGTGGGAGATTCTGGCTGGGGGAGAGAGGTAGGAGAGGAAGGTTCATTTTGTGGTGGAGGTAAGTTGGGTGGAATGTTGGTGAAAATATCAGGTGAATCAATCGAAGGAGGGTCAGAAGTAGGAATTATAGGATTAGGTGCAGGTGGGATGGATGCAAAAGGGAACACAGTTTCATAAAAGAATACATTCCTTGAAATGTAAAATTCATGTGTGATAGGATCATAGAGAAGGTGGCCTTTTGTGCCTTCCCTGTAGCCAAGAAAAATAGATTTCCTTGCTCTTGGTTCGAATTTAGTGCGATGGTTAAGCAAGGTCGAAGAATAGGCAAGACAACCAAAAACTCTCATATGGCTAAGGCTGAGAGGAGTAAAATGGAGTTTTTGGTATGGAGAGTGGTTGTTTAAAAGAGGAGTGGGAAGACGATTTATAATATGAATGGCATGTTGTATGGAAAGGTGCCAAAGGTTGTGAGGGAGGTGAGAGTGGAAAGAGAGGGCACATGCAACATTCAAAATGTGTTGATGTTTTCTTTCTACGATACCATTCTGTTGAGGCGTTTCCACACAAGACCTTTGATGAATGATTCCTTTAGAAAGGTAGAAAGTGGTCATGAGAAACTCAGGACCATTATCACTTCGAATGCACTTGAGTTTCTTGTTAAATTGGGTTTCGATAAAGGATATGAAGTGAATTAAATGGTTTTTGGTTTCACTTTTGTTGGCCATAAAAATTATCCAAGTAAACCTGCTGTAATCATCTACGAGGGTTAAAAAATACTTGTGGCCACATATCGAAGGTGTGGAAAGAGGGCCCCAAATATCAACATGAAGTAAATCGAAGATGGCAACAGACTTAGTATTACTGTGAGTAAAGGGCAAATGTTTTTGCTTAGCCAAATGGCAAGTGTTACAGGGCTTATGATTGTCATTGTAGGTGACAAAAGGAAATTGAGAGGAAATACATTTGTGTATGTGGGGACTTAAGTGTCCAAGCCTAAGATGCCAAATAGTAGCAGGATCGTGTTTAGCAGGTTCTAATTGGGGAGAAGAGGAGGTGTTGACAGAGCCAGATGTGGGAGAGATATCCTTAGATGGGGTGGCATCAAGAACATACAATTTTCCAATCCTCCTAGCTGTAAATCCAGTCATCTTGGATTGGGACAACTGTATAATGTGACATCAATTAGGAGAAAATTTCACATCATATAAGGTGGAGTCAAAAAGAGTGGTGACAGAGATAATATTGACATGAAATGAAGGAAAGTAATAAACATTGTGAAGGACAAGTGAATCACATAGTAAAACTGAACCAACAATAGTAGTGGTGACAGAGTCACCATTAGGCATTGTCATAGATTTAGGTGCAATGTGGTATGTGGAAAGGAAACTGGCAAAGGTATGGGTGATGTGATCAGTGGCACCTGTGTCAATGATCCACCAGTTATGATAAGGAAGATTTGAGGAATTCTTACCAGAGGAAGTATGAGGAGAGGTATGGGACACATAATTAGCAGTATAAACAGAATTAATCGAGGGAGGTGAAGGAGATTACAAATTAGATTGTTGGAGTAGCTGCAGAATCTGAGTGTATTGCTCTTGAATCGTAGACAATGCACTTGGACTGGTGTTTGATGTGGAAGCAGCATCTTGAATCGAGTTCACTGTAGAATCAACAGAATTTCCCACAGATGTAGTAGGCTTGCGTTGTTGAAATCCAGGGGGATAACCATGTTTCAAGAAGCAAGTCTCAATGGTGTGATTGGTGCGGTTGCAATGAGTACAAAGTCTGTTTCCACGGCCACCACGGCCACGGCCACGACCAGGGTTGTGAGAAGAACGAGAAGGTGCTTGAGAAAGGTGATTCACAGACGATTGAGACTCAATCGAAGAAGCAGAAGGTGAAAGGAGGTCGAATTGACGTTCTTGTTGAAGAACCAGATTAAACACATGATCAAGAGTTGGTAGTGGTTTCATCAGCATAATCTGCGAGCGAACATGAGCGTATTGGTCACCAAGGCCCTTCAAGAACTTGATAACTTTATCTTGTTCTTTGAATTTGCGTAAGTCTGAAGCAGCACCACAGGAGCACGGTATAGCGCAAGTACAATCACGAATCGGCCGGAAGTTCTCAATTTCTTCCCAAAGCGTCATCAATTTCGTGAAGAACGAAGAGACATCGAGAGTTCCTTGTTGAAGACGAGCAACCGTTTCTTGAATGTCAGCAATGCGAAAAATATCTCCCTGAGAAAAACGATTTTCCAAACTTTTCCATACAAGAGAAGCACGATCATACCAGAGAAGAGATTTTGCAATTTCCTCAGAAATCGAGCGTTGAAGCCATGAGAGGACAAGATTGTTGCATCGCAACCAAGGTTCGTATAGAGAGTCGGAGGTAGGGGAGGAGAAAGAGTGCCATCAACGAACTTGATCTTGTTCTTGGAGATAAGAGCCACTTTCATTGATCTAGACCAGATCTGATAGTTCTTGGTATCAAGAACAGGTTGAACAAGAACAAGAGAAGGATTCTCATTAGGGTGCATGTAGTAAGGATTGGAAGGGTTGGTAGCAAAATCAGAGTAAGGAAGCGCCATAACAAGCTGAAGCAGCAAGAGAAGAAGGAGGCGCGAAGGCGCGAAGAAGAAAGGCGCGGAAAAGGGAATTCAAACTGATACCATGTTAATTTTGGAATAAACTGAATGTATTATTCTAATTTGGAATGTACAAAACAGTACTATATATACTGTTTGAGTGTAACAAACTATAACAAACTACAAACTGTTTAGTAACAAACTAAACAGAATTATAACAAATATAACAAACTACAAACTGTTTAGTAACAAACTAAACAGAATTATTTTCATCATGTAATAAGTTTCAAACTTCATATACAAAATTTTAAATTAATATTATCCTAAATAAAACTTCACAATAACATAAGTAAATAAAAATTCACAAATAAGTCAATTACACAAATAAAAAGAATTTATATTAATATTATGAAGCTTGATGAATAAAATCTAATTGTTTTTTTGCAATGATTTATTACTTTATTTTTACAAATTTTTATATAGATACTTTGCCAAAATTAAAGAAAAGTAGTAGTCTGTACACTATTAAAAATACTAATGAGTAATTTAATATTTTAGTTGGCCACTCATATTTAATCTTAACTATTACCACTCATATTTAATCTTAATTATTGTCTTGGTATATTTAATCTTAATAATTGACGGGGTATTGAAAAGAGAATTGAACAAATTTAATCTTAACTATTACCACTCATATTTAATCTTAATTATTGTCTTGGTATATTTAATCTTAATAATTGACGGGGTGTTGAAAAGAGAATTGAACAATAGTAGTATAATTTAAATAAAAAGCAGACACATAAATGATAATAATAAAAATTATATGCTATTAAATATAATTATTTTCGTTCAATCGTATTTGTTACGGAGAATAATAAAGAAGGCATGAAATAACAAATTAAACCATTTCAACTATTCTATCACTAATAAAAAAATTTGTGACTGTTGCCAAAATTGTTTCCAAAATTCTTGCTGCTACTAATTGAATCAAATCGCGTAAATCTTTCTGCTTGTGGAGAATTTCCACTTTCATGCATGCTTAAGGAGGAATCAAACATTGACATGTCAAAGTGATCACCTGCCTCGATGTACTTTGAAGAGTTTCAAAACTTGGAAAATGGCATGCACTGAATTGTTAAAAGCAAATGGGCTTTTTTACTAGGAAGCACCATATGTAAATGTAGTTCATGTTCTAACCAAGTTTAAGCCAAAACCACCAGATTGAAAGAAATCTCCCTGCTTCCTCAAGTCAAAGTCCTACGGAACCAAACATAAAAATTATATGAATCACTATAAGTGACATTTTTATGTGCCTATAAATCAAACCAACTTGATCTTTGAAATTAGAATACCCTCTTCATGAGGAGTTATGCTAAACCCCATTGAGAAATTAAGGAAAATAAAAAGTTCATTGCATCTTCATCAATTGCAGTGTAAAAAGTTCTAAGGTTAATTTCCATATAACTTGTCTCCCAATAACTACAATTAATTAAGTTACACTAAGATGGAGAGAAAACCAATAAATTACCCCAGGTTGATTCATCAAAACTTTTGTTACTAATATATTAACAATATTGCAATTACTAAATGCATCTCATTCAAAGCAATGAATTGCAGAAACAGTAACAAAAAATGACAATACATAAACTGACACCTTCATAACAGAAAAAACAGAATAAATTACCTGTGTGTTTCTGCATCTGCTTCCGAACTTTTTGCAAAAGTAGAAGTTGTAAATTCTTTTGAAGGACTCTCCAATGCATTCCTTACGAATGGGCTATCGCGAGGGCTTCTCGCCAAGTCATCTTCACTACGTGCATAAGACGGTTCATCATCAACTGTATAATCACCATTAGTAATAAAAGTGAGAAACATACAGAGGAGTAAAAAACTAAAATACACCATACTTTGGAATAAGATACAAACAATAATTGATTTATAAACATGTTTTTTTACAAAGATTTATAAACATGTTAAAAGCAAATTGAACAATGATACTAAGCCACCCAAATACGTGTCTCAGAAAGGCTCCACCACCGGTACCAATGCTCTTTCACTTTCAAGATGTCAAAAACTTCATAGCTGCAACAAAGAAGAAGATAATTAAAAAGGGGAGTTAAAAATTCACTCTCAAAGAATAAAGAACTTTGATTTGAAAAAAGCTCAATACTTTAATATGTGACAAGTTGACACATTCATAGAAAACAAAATAACTACAACATTCACACAAATTAGCAAAAATCAGAGAAAAAGTAATAGAAGATCCATTACACGATCAACATTATCATGAAACGCATCAAGACGCATCGCAAATCCATCAAAAACACTATCAAGAATATCAAAAAGCAATTGCAAATCCATTAAAAAAACACGATCAGCAATCTGATACGCAAATCCATTAAGGAAATCACGATCAAATTAACATGAAAAAATAAACGTAATGAAAAAAAATAGACAAACATCATGTGTTTTGATTTGAGGCTGATGGAAGAAAAGAGTGTTGTTGAGGCAGAGAGGAAGATGAAACTCCAAAGTTCTCAACGTTTGAAGATACGTGATTGTCTTGTGCCTTTAATAAGAAAATTTCAATAGAAAATATCTGAAAAAAATATCTTCCATAAATTGAACAAAAAATGTTCCAATATATCTTTCAATCGATTAAAAGAAAATTCTTGAAGCTACAAAAAAGATTGTTCAGTTGAACAATACTTGTCATGCCAATGAACAAGATTCTTCTAATTTTCTGGTTGGCGGTGTTGTTGGTTCTCTTTGGTATCGAAACTTAGAATCAATTTTTCTACACTATTTTCTGTTCCATTCTGTTTCGATGCAATTGTAATTCCTCTTTTCTTCTCTTCGGGAGCCTTGTCAAGTTCATCAAAATTTATAGCTTTAGGTTTCCCTCAATCGACAAGTACCTACAATCAACCAAAATTGCATCAACCCTAAAATATAATCAATTGAGACCTAAGCTTCATTTCACTTCAAAATTTGAAAAAGAAAGAAATTGGTTTTACTCGGTGATTGCAACAATGAGTGTGACTTTGCAGTGATCTACATGACCAATAGTTCCAAAGTTAATTGAAGAGTGAGAGAGATTGGAGAGTTACATTATTCTAATTCTCAACCGCAAAACCTCTTCTTTCAATTGAACATTTTTTTTGTTGTGAATTTGAACACCCTTTTGAGTTTTAATGGCGTCAGTGTTAGTTTATCATGTGGTGGGAGATTTGACGTTGGAGAGCCGAAGTTGGTTGAGTTTCATGAAACGGAGGGGTGAAATCTACTATGCAAAAGCAGAATCGCCGAGACGGAGAATACTGGTATTGAAAGAGTAGAGTAAATTTGAAGCGGTAGATTGAAAGAAGAATGAGATGTGATTGTTGAATATTTAAAACCAATGTGACTTTTCACTGTTCAATGTATTAAGGAGAGTGAAACATTTGAATTTTTATACGTCTCTACGTTAGAATAAGTTAATTTAACGTATCAAATAGTATTAATAGCTGTATTGGAATTTTAGGTTCCAAAACGTGGAAAAGTGAGAAACACTATAATTATAGATTACATTATAATTAATTAGGGTTTAAGGTAAAGAATGATTTTAGTAGGTAATTCAATTTAGAGAAATGAAAAATACTCTTAAAACTGATTTAATTTGAATAATTAAATACTTTTGATGGTAATTAATTTTAATATATTAAAATAGATAATAGAATTCTGTTAAATTATACAATTTATTTGATTATATTTTTGAACACCCCTTCTTTAGACTAATCAACACATGCTAATAACATTTGAAATAGCACATCAACTTTCTAACTAAGAATGAAATATGCTATCAAACTCTCTAAATTACCTTTCATAACATAATAAATTTATACTACAAAATTACCCTTAATAATAATTATAATTGAGTAAATCAATTTATGTGATCCAATGAAAAACAACCATTGTACCAAGTGGCACACATATTTCCTCCTTTTCCCTTTCTCCCCGTCTCATTTGAAAAGAGATCCATTTTCCCTCACTTTTCCCTTTCTTCCTCTTCCTCTCTCCCGAAACCCTAGCGGCCTTCAAAATCCTCCTTTCTCTCTCATCATCTCTCATGCCACATAAGCATCTCTTCGTCTCTCTCATCGGAATCCTTTGACCTCCAACCTTCACCATTTCCTTTATCGGTTTCTTCCATCTTCCTACCATCTGTGTTTTGAGGTAACTCGTCTCTAATGTTTCTTTTCTTCTCTGCAATCTGTTTTTGTCCGTCTTCTTTGATATTTTTTTCTTCTTCCATTTTTTACTATTTTATGTGTAGATCTGATTGTCAAGGAACGCGCCTAAGTCTGGGGCTTTCATGACATGTCCTGGTTTGTCAACGAAGTGGTATGAAGATTGGTACGAGATTTCTCACTTGTGATGTTTTCTTCATTTTGGTTGTGAGGTTTGTACTTTATTAGTTGTGTATTCTAACAAAAATGTTGGTCAGCTTTTCTATCTGCTTTTTTATCTATGATTTGGTGTGCTTAAACAAATTTTATCTATCAAGCTTCTGCTTTCTTAGTTGTGTATTCTAACAGGTTTTGTCTTGTGGTTCATATGTTGAACATAATATATTTTTGGTTCAGTGAAATTGGTGTTTCGAATCAGAAGTTGTCAGTGTTTGCCGGATCGGTTGGTTGCATCGTTGGTAGAACAGGCCGCAGGTATATAAATGGCGTAGCGAGTCTTCCGATGTTGAGGCAGAAGCAATTTGCACAGGTGGTGGCGGAACTACTCTTCCTTTTGATTTATGCTTATGGATGTCTCTTATTTTTGCTGTTATCCCAGATGCTCTAATTTTATGTGTAAGTTGTGTGTTATTTAAGTGCTTGAAACTTTGAACTGGAGGGGGTCAGACGAGGAAATGAAAGACCAATCTACTAATTCAAAAAAGGAGAAATATTTGAACTGAAGGTTGGCTTACTGAATATTTGAACTTCAAACCAAACATGTATCAGTTTTGTTTCTTCTTTGTATTACTCAGCATGAATTACTCAATTTAATTTGAAAACTTTAATGTAACTTCTTTGTATTATTTCTTCACTTGTCTGCTATTACAACTTTGCATTTACAACATTACTTTGAAGCATTTAATAACAAATGATGAAATGCCTTTTATAACAGCTAATATATAAAATATATTTCTAATCTAGCACATTCCTGATACGAACATTTGGGATTCTTTTAGAATAAACATCTCAGGTTCATTATTGAAGAGTTTTATTGCTAGGGAGTTGTGACAAATCACCTATTTGCAATAAACTGTATGTTCAAAAAATCCAATGTAGATGATAAATAGGCTATTGTTTGTATTTTACTGATAAATGATATCTTAAAATTTTTAGGAAGCATTTCATACATACCATTAATCTTATAATCAAATTGGACTTTGATTGATGTTTGCATACATTTTTTAGTTTTTATGTTTATACTTTGGTCACATTAACCTTTTGGTTTGATTATATCTTATGCTTGAATTTACTTCTTATCTAATAGTTCATAATTTACTTCAAATTTTGTCTATTGATGTATCCGCAGCAAGAAGGATTGCAAGGAAGGTCAGTGCTCCCAGTGGTGGGCTTCCTATGGTGCAAATACTCAGGGTAGTTTGTGTGGATTCCACTGAAATAGCTTGCATGTTGTTGAAGCCTAAATGGATTGGAGCTGATAGGGTGTAGAATTTGGAAGCTCAAGAAGGATTGGATGTAGAAAAAGGTTATTGATCGTACTTGATCAGAGTTGGACCGTCACAGCTGGCCTTTGGCTGAATTTGAAGGAGATGGGGGTACCTGTAAGATACTCCGATGACAAAGTGAGAGACGAAATGAGCAAACAAGTATGTATGTAGGTGTGAATGAATGAATACACGACCTTCTCGAAATAGAGGGTATTTATAGCCCACAGCGCTGGGCCGATGTCTCTTTATTGGGCTGATCAAACAGGCCCAACAAAGGGACTGCCAGGTTCTACGTGAGTAGTGGGGACCTGTACGTGGCCCCCTACCTGGATGATGCTCTTCGCAAGACATGGAGGATAAAGACGCGATCTTCCCAGGACCATGAGGACTCTGCGAAATCTGGAGAGGTTGAAAGTCAGCCCTACGAGGAGGGTACTTGGGTAGAGCGTGCGCTCGTCGAGGACGTTCCTCGCGGGCACCGGCGGGAAGCAATCGTTTGAAGTGGCGATTGGGCCACGGGCAGGCCCAGTCCAAAATAGGAGCCCCCAAGTCGTTGCTCCTGATACGGGACTTATGACTTGATTTGAGTTTGCCCTTTCGCGAGACTCACTTGCGCGACACAGGGGTTTTCAATCGGGGATGTGAGACATTGCCTGGTTCGTGATTTGCCCCGTGCAACGATCGGGAAGTGTTCGAGGAGCGCTCGCAGGGAGGTGGTGATGCGTCAGTTAGACACGTGGTGCGACTCTTGGAAACCATAATGCTGCCCTATGGAGTAGGGTCATCATTGTCTACGCGAGTAGGCGTCGAGGACAGAGGTGGTTCGTGGTTCTCCGGTGCGACGTTTCATATTCCACGTCATCTCTATAAATAGGGCTTCAAGATCCATAGTTTGTTTTCACATCTTCACGCTCTTATATTTTCTCTGTTTTCAATCACCGTGCGTTTTCCTAGCGTCGTTGAAACCGCCGTGCTGTTTGCCGTGTGTTCATCTCCACCACCGTCGCTCCTCACTCTTTCCCAAGTAAGTGTTTTTTCCCTTTGATATCTCATGTTGTAGATAGATTTTGATGGTGTTTTAGTGGTAGAATTTAATGTCTGGGGATTGTGCCAGGGAAATTTAAGCACCCTAGGCGCCTGATTCATGATTACGCCCACGACATTCATAGGTTTAGGCATACAGTTTACGACCGTGTCCGTGATACTCATGCGTTTGACTAGTAGACTTATGAACTTGGTCGAGAGATTCATCCTTTCGTTAGTATGTAGGCTAGTTTTCCTCGTAGTATTCTTGTATCTGGCCAGCAACATTATGAACTTGGTCGCGGGATTCATCCTTTGCTCGCGATATTCATGCTATACTCGCGTCATTCATGATTGATACACGTCCGCCGCTAAGGTCGGTGTTTGGTTAAGGTCTACGTGTTCCCCGTTTTTCGTTCGAATGGCCGTTGACTCGGTTTGAGTGTTGCTTACTTCTCCCTGTCTTTGTGGCGGAAAAGCGGATTTGCTGTCGAATTCATCGGTTTCCTGTACTTTGCAGGTAAATGGCCTATATTCCTGAATCCTCAGGGCGTAATGATGTCGAGGAAACAAGCGCTGCCGAAGAAAACATCAATTTGGTTGACACTGTCGACGACTCCACTCTGGATTAGGTTGGTGATGAACCCCGGGGAATAGCCTCGATCTATAACTATTCCGTTAAACAAGCTTACACTATTATCGAGTATGACAGCGACCAAGAGGGATTTCGGAGAAACTTTAAGATTATGAGGTCGACAAGGGATGCCCGTATCTGCTCGGAGTTTACACATGACACATTTTCCATGTACGAGATTGTATTTAAAGATCTCGGGCTCCGGTTGCCCTTCAATGACTTTTAGGTGGGAGTTTTCAACCACCTGAACCTTGCCCTATCCCAAATTCATCCTAATGCGATTGCCTTTAGCATTCGAACTCACCTGCCACTTCCTGAGGATTGGGGCGATGATTCCCATGTTCTTCAGGGTTTTTCATCTACAAAGGCAATCCCGAGGAGGGAAGCACAACTGAGTGTCCCTTAAGCAATCGAAGAGACTGTTTAGGATGTATATGGATTCTGTGCGAGATTTTAAGGATAAGTGGTATATTTTGCAACCGTCTACCCAGACAGCCGTAGATTCGCTGTTCGAATCGGCCGCTGTGGTGGACGAGGACGGGGAGCCGTGTTTGGATGCTAAGGGTAATCTCGAGATTGGGAAAGGCTCTAAGTTTCCCATTCACTGGTGGGTATGAGTGCTGAGGATGAGAAAGCTTATGGCGTTCTCAGCAGATTGGCGCTCGGTGTTCGGGGAATCCGAAGACTCACTAGATCCTTCCCTGCCCGAGTCAGGGGTCGGGCCCATCCGCGTGGCTTATTGCGGCCTCACCAACCTCTCGCTGATTTTCTTGTCTTGAGTTAGCTTCAGCAAAAGTTAGAGACGCCATAAGCACTCGTCCTCAGAACTCATACCTCCAGCATGAGTGTGGTAGTATTCAGGTCCATGGTCGTAATGGCCTGAACACCGGTGAATGGAAAACTTAGAGACTTTCCCAATCTCTGGATTACCCTCAGCATCCAAACACGGCTCCCCGTCCTCGTCCACCACAGCGGCCTGTTCGAATAGCGAATCTACGATTATCTGGGTAGACGGTTGCAAAATATACTACTTATCCTTAAAATCTCGCACAGAATCCATATACATCCTAAACAGTCTCTTCGACTGCTTAAGGGACACACAACTGTGCTTTCCTCCTCGGGTCTGCCGTTGTAGATGAAAAACCCTGAAGAACAGGGGAATTGTCGCCCCAATCCTCAGGAAGCGGCAGGTGAGTTCGAATGCCCGGATAAAGGCAATCGCATTAGGATAAATTTGTGAGGGGGCCAGGTTTAGGTGGTTGAACACTCCCACCTGGAAGTCATTGAAGGGTAACCGGAGCCCGAGATCTTTAAATACGATCTCGGACTCCGGTTGCCCTTCAATGACTTCCAGGTGGGAGTGTTCAACCACCTGAACCTGGCCCCCTCGCTTTCTAGGGCGCCTTCGGTAGTCCTCGAGTGCTCTCAGTCTTTCCTCCTGGGCAAAGATGAGATAGTTGGTTTGGTTAATCGTCGCGAACAGTGCCCTGGTCGTGGCGTTTGCCCCGACGGGGACAGGGGCTTCGTGGAATTGGTTGGCTGGGTAGTTCAGAGGAATTGGGTGATCTTCTTCAAGTCGAGGAATTGGGTGATCTTCTTCAAGTCGAGGAGGGATTGATAAAGCCGTGGCTCTGTCCTGGTAGTTAGAAGGTCCGGGGATGTTGCTGCCAGGGACCGTATTATGGCCGGCGTTGTCTAGGCCGACATTATTGTTGACGATGTTGTTGTTAGCTTCGACGACACAGACGTTTTGGTTGTCCTGAGTTTGGTCAGCCATGACAGTCGAGGATTGTTAACTTTTGTCTTTTTAAACGAAGAGAAGACGGGGAAAATTAGTTTCCCACAGATAGCGCCACTAATTGTACCTGATCAGAGTTGGATCGTCACAGCTGGCCTTTGGTTGGATTTGAAGGAGATGGGGGTACCTGCAAGACACTCTGATGATAAAGTGAGAGACAGAATGAGCAAGCAAGTATGTATGTAGGTGTGAATGAATGAATACCTGACCCTCTCGAAATAGAGAGTATTTATAGCCCCAGCGCTGGGCCAAAGTCTCTTTATTGGGCTGATCAAACATGCCCAACAAAGGGAATGTCAACTTCTACGTGAGTAGTGGGGACCTGTACGTGGCCCCCTACCTGGATGATGCTTTCTGCAAGACAGGGAGGATAAAGACGCGATCTTTCCGGGACCATGAGGACTCTGCGAAATCCGGAGAATTGAAAGTCAGCCCTACGAGAAGGGTGCTCGGGTAGAGCGTGCGCTCGTCGGGGACGTTCCTCGCGGGCACCGGCGGGAAGCAATCGTGGCTGACCAGATACCCATGATCAGGGTGTGCTCGGAGGATATACTGCTCAGCACGATATGTTGACAAGCTTGGATTAGGCCTTACTGGTGATTGGGCCACGGGCAGGCCCAGTCCAGAACTGTTACTCTATTGACTTTTCTCCAGAAATGATGATAGAAAAATACATGAACCTAACCACTGCTAAAAAATCTTCACCATA